AATGATTGCTTAAATAACATTAGCATTTAAAGAAAAACAATATTTGTATTAATTGTTGAGAAAAACAAATTCATCTGTAGTTGACTATGAATTAGTTGGAAATACAATTTTTGTAAACTGAATCTTATTATTATTCTATTTTATTTCATTATTTTACCCCAATGTGCATAATTTCATGCTACTTCATTTATCTTATGTCAGAAATAGTATTGCTGTTCTCCAACATTATTACAACTAGGAAAAAAAAGATTAATCAGACACTTCAAAAGCCTCATGCTGAAATAACATTTTTAAAATTATATAAGAACAACCACTATTTTCTACAGCAAAACTAATTTTTCAAATTTGAGATAACAACACTGCATTACAAAAGTAAAGATCCATTTGAAGAAAAAAGAATTCTGGTGGCCTAATGAAGCGATCTTCTTTACACCCAGTTGTAATGTACAGTCTAATAGAAAGATGTTAATTCTTTTCTGGCTTGCTTTGAGTGATATTAAGGGGCTGGTTGGTGTGGTTCAGATAAAAATAGCTTTTCCATTTAATCTGATCACTAATGATAACCTTTATTTCCCTTCACATTGTGTTTTTGATGTCACAGGAGAGGGCTGAGCTCCAGAGTTTGCTCTTCAGTTTCAGAGATGGTTGCTGTGTGGGCTTAACACTTCTTCAGCACCTACCACCTTCAAATAACTGACCATAGAAAAGGAACACCCTTGTATAAACCTATAACCTCCCACACTGTCTAGTGCCTACCTAATGACACTCAAACAGAACAGACAGCCTTTGACTTTGGAAGGTAGCCCTTGAATGTCTGAGTTCATTATGGGGTGAAGAAACAAGAACAAAAGTAGTGATGTAGTCCTTGTCACAAAATTAGTATCTCACCCTGCAGCATTTTTAATGAGTAGGGAGGACAATTATTATGTTATTCCTAAGCTAATTAGAGAAAATGTCTGTCCTTAAAAATGAAGTAACTGAACATTTGAGTTGGATTATCTATGTAACAGTCACATAGTGATACCCTGTTGTGCAGCTGTGGATAGGAAGGGGAAGAAGACAGAATTTCTATTTCATAGTCCTACGTTCACTGCTCAGAGGGCTGAAGGGATTGTGCTTCTTGTGACTGAGGAGGTGATGGAGCTACAAGACTGTCACACTGAGGTAATTCCACAGTACCATGTAAGCATTATCCTGGTGTGTTAGTAAAGCAACGAATTACAAGGCTCCCAGGGATTCCGGTCTTTTGCAAATGGCCACCAAACTGGAGATTAGCCAGTAATGTCACAAGAACCAATGGCTTTAAATTACTCCGTCAATCTAGGAAAGTTAGACCAAAATTGCATAGTTTTGTGTTGTGACATTGGGAACATATGCATGTGAGAAAAGTAATCTCTGAGATGTTTGTGGCTGGACACTAACTCAGGAGGCAGACAGAGCTAACAGAAAGGCCGATAATATCCTGATGCAGTAAGGTCATTCAAGGCAATGGGAACATTGCATCACACCAGGAGTATCATGGAGGTCTGTCCCTCAACCTGCATAGGTACCATGCTAATGAGCTTTCATCAGCCCACTGTACTATAACAGGCTCCTCAGATAAATAATTCTCTTTGAATCATCCCGTCACCGGAGGGGTGCTGAGCCAAAGTTCTCAGAGCAGCCTGTCTATCCAGACCACAACTGCAAGCTATATACACTAAGTTAGTGAGGCTGCAAAACCAGTGCGATACTCAAGGCCCTGAGAGATGTTTGTTCCTGATACCACAGAGAGCAACAAACTGTAGTTGCTAAGCTTGTGGTCTCAGAGGCGCCTCTGCTTGGCATTTTATTCACCAAAAGGAAAGGCTAGGACATAAAAGGAGGCAAGGTCAGATTAAGGCTCACTTCTGTATGCCAATATTACCTTCCTTTCTTCTCTTGGGCTTGGGCAATGTCCACTCGCCCAACACTGCCATCTTTTCCACTGCCTTATAAAGTGAGTCTGCTAGGGAGCATCAGAGTAACCGAAACAAAGGCTCAGAGCCAGCCTGCTCTGTGACCCTGACAGCTGACTGGGGAGTTTTTATTGTTAAGTAGACTGTCTCCCTTCTTCAGCAGTAAGGTCAGTTACAGTATTATTTTTCCTCATCTTGCACAGAAAGAAAAGGCTAGATTGACTCCCCTGGAAGATGATAAGACCCTGTCTGTCACTTCCTCAGCCCTTAATTGAATACAGAGGGGAAGAACGGCCACATCAATTCTTGGCTTTCAAAACTGGTACTTGTAAGGAGCTGAATCTGGCCTACATACATCTAAGCACCCATGTGTTTTCTCTGTCCGGCTGGTTGCTTTGTGGAGCCTAGTCAGATAAAATGACTCTTCCTATCACATAAAGATAATGCTCCACATGAATGGCAACATCTGTGAGATTCCTGCCCATTGTGGTCCTCTTTGATTAGGGACTGTTCTGCCTCATTGGACAAACTGGTGTAATAGCTTGGGATCAGAGTAGCATAAAGATTGTCACAGTTTGAATAATCTTTTGAGCAGTGGGAGGTAGTGATCATGCCTGAGGCAAAATACCGCTTCTGGCATGTTATGGGGCACTGTGATTCGGTCCCGCACTTCATTTAGCCTTCTTCCAAATGTCGCAGTTTAGCCACTGAAAAATGCGGTATTTTTTATTAGTATATTCCATCTTCAGTGTAGTCCCATAATTCCTGTTGGATGTGGGCCAGGTGAGCAGGGGTGGAGGATAGCACTTAAGATGTGAAATGCCAGTATAGAGGCTCCAGCCTGTGCAATTTTTCATGCTGAATGGTTTTCTAGAATGTGACAAGCAATCTCTACTTTATCTGGAGGATGGAGAAATTCTGAGGATAAAGAGTGAGTCCTCTTTTCCCTCAAGTCCATCCCACTAGCTTTTGCCCTTCCATGAACACATTTAGGAAAGACTAGTCTGTTTAGCAATTGCTCAAAGGTCACAAAAGACTGCTTTAGGCTTTTGGCCCATATGGAATAAGCAGTGTTTTCTTTTTCCAGTGTTGTCACAGTTTATTTTACTTTATAGTTGAAAAGTAAATGAAAGAAATAGCTGAGGGCATATTTGCGAATAATTACACTTGCACCACATTTCTTGAGAGTTTGTTGGGTAGACTCGGGCATAAAATTTGATTGTTTTCCCTGTTACAGGCAGTTTCATTATCCACCCAGTGTTTGCAATGGATTATGAGGCACTGTAGCAGATTACAGAGACAGCAGTCAAATGTTTCATCATCTGGAAATGGAATAAATAGGTCTTTTTCAATTGCAGTGATGTGAAATGAGCTTTCAGGAAGTTAGATTTGGAAAACAGCTAATTAGATGCTGTTTCAGGCCCTCCTGCTGAGATGACTGTTGCATAAACTGAAGTAAAACCTGAACCCTGCAAGTTGTCTCAGGTTCTAGTCCTGCAAAGTACTTCGCAGTGGCAGACTGGTGCTGGGGCACAGGGTGTTCCTTATGATGATGGTACTCATCAAGCAGTTGTTGTCCAAGTTCCACCACAGCTCAGATTTGCCTGAATTGACACATGGCCAGAGTCAGTCCACACTTAACAAGTGATTTTGAAAAACTCATCGGATACTAGATTTTTGTTATGGCCAACCCATGACTGTTGACATTGGATTGTTCTGTTCACCTTCCCTGGTGGCAGTGATCAGAACTCATCAGGGACACATACATACTGACTCCCCCAGCTTGTCATGGCATGTTCGGAAGGGTGGGAGTCATTATCTAGGTGAGAAAATTTAGACTACGTATGACAAAATCTTTCAGGGAAAGCCTTGAAATAGCTGTGTAGTGAGAAGGGTTAGGGGTTTTAATTTTTATGATGCTAATGAAACCAAATACCCTCAGAAAGCAGAAAGTGCAGGCCAGTGCTTATCAATCCTTTTTGATTTCTGAATCTCTCAAAATCACAAAATACCTTGTGAGTTGAAGTCTACTGACAACATTTTTGTTCCTCCTAGTTTCCCTGTGTGGGCCTGTGGAAGTAGGCCAGTGATCCTCAAATATCCCCGTGGAAGAAATCTGCACATAGTCTACAAAGTGTAGTTGTAATAAAAATGTGTGACTGGAGGTGGGGAGGGAATCCAGATCTAGATTTATTGCTGCATAAAGATAGCTTAGAAAAATCTTGTTATCAGACAGAATGGTTGGCCTGCACCTGTAGGAATGAAAAAAGCAGGTCCAAGAGTAAAGCCTGTGCAAGAGTTTATCTATGGTCTGGCCTGCTGAGAGTGAAAATCCCCTGCGTTCTCAGATGGTTTGCAAGCTAGTGATCCCTTGTGAAGGAAAGCTATGAGTGGGAGACAATGAGTGAAAGAGGGACATTTCTATGGGCTTGCTTTTAAGTTCTCTGGATAGATTTTATTATTTCAGCATTCAAACATAATAGGTTGCATGTTCAAGATATGTGAACAGCTACTGACTGGAAAAGCTAGTGTGGCATAGGTGTACAGTAGGAAGGGTGCAAAAAGGCTTTCAGTCACTCGTATTGGGGCAGTGAGGACATCTGTAGTCTGTGCAGGTCCCAAGCACAGGCTGGGTTTTCACTGTAATTAAGTGGGTCAATTCTTAATTCATGCTCTTAACTTAGTAAAACAAAACCAGTGTAGCTATCAGGATATGATATATGTTAAATGATTAGGCTACTTTTAGTAAAGCAACTCAAGGTAAAAGCTAAAATATTTTTTCCCTTAGTATAGACAGCCAAAGAAGGTACATCACTTCATTCTCTCTCCAGGTTGACAATCTATCTGTTAAAGTTCTCTGTTACAAGAGCCATCAATAGAAAATGTTTTGGGGAGAACACCAAGAAAATCCACTCACAAAATCCAGGAAATACCCCATCCAGCTCTTTTCAGTTTAACACAGGACATAAAACTCTTTAAGCAAATATGCTTGTGTCTTTATATATATATGTTCTCTATATATTCAAATGTGGATATACCACACACATATGTAGAAAGACGAAGATGGAAGATGGGCATAGGGAGAAAGAAAACACAGGTATGTCATATACATTAGGTATAGATGATATACACATTATATTATAATGTATGTTATCCATACATATGTGTAATCATTATATATATATTTCTACACTATCTGTAAGCTAACAGTGAATTTCTTCATAACCCACATCTTCTTGGTCCTTTTGAATACTTCTAATTTCTTAATCTACTAGTTTAAATCATGGCTGAAAGTTTCTCATCCTACTGTTTCTCCTTAGTGATGGTAAAAAGAGAAATACAGAAATAATTCATAAGGAATTTTGGTTTTGATTTCAACAAGAATGAGTCAAAAAATAAAAGGAAGTGTGATAGATCTTATGATAAATTATTATAGATCTTCAGGTATGGTAAATTGTAGTACAATTGATTTAAGGCAGTAATGATGATTCATGTGAAGCAAAGATTAACTGGCATGGAAATTTTAGGGAAAAATTTTGCTAAATGCTGGGGTTTTTTTAGGTCTATAAAATCTTAACGTAAGATTGCTGAGTCACTACTGCAAGTTAACGTACCGGTAGGACTTGGCTGTAATACCAGATGAGTTTTACAAGCCAGATTTCATCAAGAGGTATGAAAGCAATTGTGTCTACTCATCCATCCATCTGGCGTTCCCTATTGACATTTCCAATGGACAGTAATTTATATACTGAAAAGCTAAAATTGATGGATAAACTCCACTTTTGTTTTCTACTGTTCAGACTGACAGCTGTGTCTAGTGAGTGGCTAGGGAGGGACCTAAAGCTCAGAATGTTATTACAAAAATGAAAATCATCAACTGGGGAGAATACATTAATCTAATCGATGTCAAAGCTGATTAAATGCTTATGGCATTACTAGTATAAACATTTTGGTAAAATATTTCTCCATAAGAAATACGACTACTTCTCCACAAGTGTTACTCTTCTCTTTAGAATAATTTAATAGGACCCTATTAGTAGAGGAGAGATTGTGACATGTAGACAAGTAAAAGATTTTTTTATTTTCTTATTACTGATATCACAAAGTGGTTGCTGTTAGAGCTAGCAAATCAGGCTATTGGTTTTTTTTTTTCACTCAAAAATTTAAGTGAAAAGTCTATATTTGCATATTCTGACTGCAAATTCTTATTTTTTTAAAGTATTTTTTTTTGGTTGGTTTCCATTTAAAATGTTGTGATTTCTTGTCTTAGTTGCCTTTAATCCATAAATACCAAATCAAAACCAACTCCACAAAATAACAACTAAATGGTACTAATTCAGTATGAAAATGATAATTTCTTTTGAAATTTGATTTAAAAAATAATCTCAATTTTTCTGGTGTTTCTACAGAAATGTTGAGGAGATGGTATCTGGCAGTAGGAAAATTTTCACAAAGCATTTTAGTATTACAGTTTTTAGTTTAGGAACTGGTGCAGACACTTCTGTTTCTTTAATAAGCTACTCTAAATTTAAGTGTATAATATGGCTTTAATGGGAGAGTTCAGTTTTCTCTTTGGCTGTGTCAAAATAAAATCAGTATGGAATATGCCAAAACCTTATCTTTAAATATTTACGCTGTTTAGAGGGGATTCTGGTAATGGAAAATGGACACAAAAAATGAGTTCTGAATAAGAACAAGAACTAAAAGCAAGAAATACTGCAACACTCAGGCTGAAATAATGAAATGGCACCCCTGATTTCTAGTGGGAAGGAAAGAGAGAGTGGGGAACAAGTTTCTTTTCATTTTCATAATATATTGGAAGCTTTTCCCTTGATTTGCATTAACAGTACTTGGGGATAAGCATCTCAGAGATATTAATCTCAAGAGTAAAAAGCAAAGTGGTTCAAAATGGCTGAATTCCCACAGTTGTTTTAAGTAGAGCTCTCTGCAGACTCCTGGCATGACGTTCACTGCAGGACTGTGATGCAACAATTATATAAGTGAGTTTAACAAGCAAGACAAGAGAAACTCAGTGGTATGACAAGATTAGTGGAGTGAATGTATGTTCTCACTTTTTTAGCCCAGGCAGGTTAGGGTTGTCTTTGCAATGAGGGCAGGAGTTTTCCCAGGGCTGCACTTTCAACGTGTTAGGTGGATGAAGCAAAATTCAGCAGTCAGCTGGGTTGTCCACATGGAGGTCGAATGTGGTTGAACCAAAAGCTGAGAACTGGGAATAAAGGAAGGCAAAGAGCCAAGGTCTGAGGCTGAAAGGCAACAACAGAGCCTGGAGAGAAGTGAGGGAAGCAGCACAGTGGCAGAGAGATTGAACCTAGATGATTCAAAGGGGAAGAGTGGTACATGTTGAAAGGGATGAGGCAGGAAACAAGTCAAAAGGATGGAAATTTGCCTTAGGAAGTATTCTCTCTTCCTCTAATGCAGGAGGTGGGATAGGAATAGGGTCTTAATCCCTACTTCAAAATATTTTAAAGTGCCTTTTAGAGTAGACATAGGGATGTGAGTAACTTCTACCTGGTGGGAGGTACAGGAGGGTCCCTCTGCACCTCACTGTTAGCTTTCTGGGCAAGAGAGGACTTGCTCAGACATCAGTATGATGCTCGGTGACTGCTGAACACTGTTGGGATGGGGTGAGTGATTTGATCAGCTGTGTTTGCTGAAACTGGTCCCATGTTTTTTTTCTGAATATGCTCCCCATTGTCATGGATATGTCTGTGAAAGAGAGAGGGGCAGGGTTTTCCACCTGTGCTGTGCAGTGATGATTGCTGTTTGAAAAAGCTGTTGACGTTTTGTTTTATTTTCTTTGGGCAGATGGGCAGAAGAAGGTTCAAGAGGAATTTGACATAGACATGGATGCACCAGAGACAGAGCGGGCGGCTGTGGCGATACAGTCCCAGTTCAGAAAATTCCAGAAGAAAAAAGCGGGGTCCCAGTCTTAGTAGCTACCTCACAGCTTAAAGCAAAGTAATTATGAAATGATTTATCAAGAAGATCAGAAATAACACAAAGATGCATGTACAGAAATTATCGATATTTAAAACCCCATCAGCAGAACACAAACCATGAGCTTGTGTGTGACTTCATCCCAGGTGTTTCATGCCCATTATCCTCTGTAACTCACCATTTTATTTGATGTTGTAATAAAAAGTTAGGGTGGAATAATTAAAGTGTCTGCCTTCATCTGTCTTTTCATATTAATCCAGCAACCACAGTGTTACAAATGAACCCAGCCCAGATGCTTGTTTTCCTCTTCATGTAAAGCTCAGAGATATAACAACACTGTATGTGGCCAGGTTTTTGCTGAGGGATGAGAGCACGTCTCAGCCCTGCTTACCTCATTTGGAGAATTCCAGCTGCCAGACAAATGTGACAATAAAATTACTTTCTCGTAACGAGTTGAAAGTAAAAAGGTGCAGAGAGAAGCTGGCATGAGGGGAAGAGGTGTAGGAAGCAGCGAGCAGTTTATTTTTGTCTTGCAATTATGCTGATAAAGTGGCTTAAGTAGGGAAATTGTCCCTGCCCTTCCTCTTTGCATGATAACATTCAAAATTACCCAGCTTGGACCACATTGACTGTTATGGAAAAAAGATAATAAATCAGATATAAAATACAAAACCATTTGCAGTTGTTTCTCCAAGAAGGCAGCATGAGCCTCACCTCCAGGCAGTGGTGACAGCCTGTCTACCTTTAACTGAAGAGCCTGGGCTGGAGCTGGGACTCCTTCAGATGTGAGTGATTCAGGTATAGTTCCCAGCTCTACCTAGAGGGATTCATTTCTTCCTCTCTCACCTCCCACAGGAGTATTCCAATCACCTGGGCAAAGAACACATATCATCAGACCCCTCGTGTAAATGGAAAGCCACAACCAAGGGGTAGGAATAGAGGGAAAGGGAGGATCTCACACTGGGGGCAATAATTTCCCATGAGAGCTTACTGTTGCAGCAATCCTCAAGGGGTGCAGAGCTGCACCTGGAAGGCAGGCTGTGGGACTGCAAAGGGAAGACCCTCAGCCTTATGGAGATTAAGGCACTTATGGTGCTTGTCAATAATTTAGTGAGGACCCCAAACCTGATGGTGGGTGATAGGAGCTCTGGGACCTAAACAGGAGGAGCCCTCAGAGATGCTGAGCAGAGGAAGCCTTATGGATCCTGTGGGTGATGTAGAAGGCGTGTGCAGAGACGACGTGTGAGGTGCTTAATAAACACAGCAAGACTGTGTGGGAATGGACAGGGCTTTTTAGAACTTAGTTTGGGTATAAACATAAAAATGCTGTCAAGTCCTGGCCCTGCGCATGACTTACCACACATCACATGTAATGTCGAAGTTCTCCAGGCTGCAGCTCAGTGCTCACTCTAGGAGCACATTTTAGCAGCCCTGTTTCTTTGCATTTAGGAGTTTCACAAATAAACTTCAAATAACACTGCTGCTGTGATCAAAGTGTGAATTGTGGAGGCCACGGATTCCCCACTTGTCTTTCACAGAGACTGCTCACCATATAATGATCACCTTAGCATAATAATTTAAAAATTGTAATGGGTTTGGATTGTGTTGGTGCCATTTTGTTTAGATGAACGTATAACTGTAATAAAGGACTGCATTTGTGTTCTGCATTATGTCATTTGAAATAGCACGAGCTCTGTAATGGCTACTTAATTGAATAAAAACAATGGGTAAGCTCTGGGCTTTTATATTTGATCTGACATCCCTTGAACTTAAGTTTCCTACACAACAGGGATAATCATATGGTTGGGACACAGAGAAAACGATTACATTATTGAAGCACAGCAACAAGGGCTGTTAGTAAATGAATTATGGCTCTTTCAGCAGCAGGGCTATGCTTCAATGTGAAGTTCAGAGTACATCTTACAAATACAGTCTTAATATACAGTGAAACGTAATGAGGAAATAGTGAACTGGCATGAAATTTGGATTAATTGTGGCTGCCCCTGTCAGACAATTTCCTTTTTATGAAAATGTGTCTGCATCACAGATACAGTTCATGTTCCCAGGAAAGGAGGGCTTTCTCACTCCCGGGTCTTGCTTTTCATTGATCCTTTGTTCATATCCAAGGTGGCAGTTTTTAATTTCCTTTCTTACCATTAATTCATATTTTTCACAGACCTATCTGGATATTGCTCAGCTGAGGAAAGGAGTTTGATTCAACCAGGAGCTTCACTAAGATAAGAAAAAGGGGACACTTACACATTCCAGGTATTATATGGGTCTTTTCCAAACACTCACTGAGCTCTCTAGTTAACTGGCACTGCCTACCTGGGAGTAACCTGGTCATGGAAAAAAAAATCTAAATTATCTGGATAGCTGTGCTGATAAACCAAAAGTTCCCACAGATAACAGATTACTCAGAGCAGTAGGTTTGGCAGGAAACAGGGTTATCACTCCCACAGCATACACCCACACCCTCCCCAGACACATCCATCCTGCTTCTGCTCCAAATTACTGTCAGATTGTCCCAAAAGAGAATAAACTACAGTTGAATGATCAGAACAATTACCCGAACCTTAGAAATCCTTTGTTCACATTGTTGCCTGAACTGTAAAATAACCTATAGAAGTAAACAGCAAAGGAGACTATTAGAAGTAAAGAACCAGTATCAGAAAGTGTAAGAATGCTCAAATGAGGAAAACAGCAAGGGATGTGAATTATATCAAGTTAAACACAGAAAGTCAAGCCAAAGCTAACCTGCAGCTTGCTGAAGGTACAGAGTTATAAACGAAACCTCTTTCAAACACCCCTCAGACTGGTAGCCTACTGGAGAATCATGGGGATGTGGGGAAGTGGAGGCCTTGCAGAAAGTAGAAATGAATCTTGCATTAACTCTCACTGTAGAGGCTCCCAGGGGTCTTGTTTTGTAATACATCAACCTGATGAATTAATCACCAAACTGAAATGTCAGTGGAAGAGTTTTAAGTAAACGGGAAAAATCAGTAACAACAGATCACCAGGACTGAATGAGGTTCACTCACATCTTGTAGAGGAGCTGTCATGTTCAGCCCATTGCTCATCATGACCTCAATTCCAGGGGAATAGGCAGTGGCAAATTAATAACAGATTTCAGAAAAGGCTCTAGGAGCATTTAGGGATTTACAAAGACTGTCTTCATTAAGTGGCTTTAGAGAAACTATATGTTATGGTTTCTACCTTTGGCTATCAGCGAAACACCACAACAACCGCCCACTTGCCCTCCCCCCTCCAGGGATGGGGGAGAGAATTAAAGGGATAAAGGGAAAAGAGACTCATGGGTTGAGATAAGAACAATTCAATAACTAAACTACAATACAATTGAAAATAAAAATGGTATTAATAATGATAATAGAAATATATACAAATATACAAATGAGTGATACACAGTAAACTGCTCACCACCCAATGACCAAGGCTCGATCCTGCGGCAGGCAGACTCCCGAAACCACAATCAAGGAAAGGAGATAAGAGCCTGAGCATCCGAGACTGAGAGCTGACCAAGAGAGTGAGATGACCCTGAGAGGGGGTGACCCAGAGAGAGAGTGAGAACTGGACAGCTCGTCATCTATATACTGGGTATGATGTGTGTGATATGGAATATACCGTTGGCCAAAACCTCATACAACTGTAATACGTCAACACCAGCCTGAGAGCAGCTGTGATTTCCAAATCTTCTGGCAGTTGCTGGTGGAGTAAACAGGTGGGTAATTGTAACCCCGGTGCACTTGGATTTTCAAGAAGTTTTGACAGGACTCTTGTGAATGCCTCTTAGAGAAGTTAAGCAGTCCAGGAACAAATGGTCAGGTCCCCTTGCAGAAAAACACCTGGTTAAGGGACAGGAGCCAGAAGGGTGGGTTGCCATGCATGGTTCTGATGGCCAGGGCTGGATCTGCCCTGGCACTCCCTGGCTGCCCTGCTCCTGGCTGGAATTCCCATGGTCCTAGCCCCAGGGAGCTGCTAGCTCACTGGGCCCTGCAGTCTCCCTGTCCACATTAGGGGTCTGTCCCTCTGCACATCCCAGTGGCCCTCCCAGTGAGGAGAGAGGGATGTGGATAGCTTCTGGTCCTACACATGAAGGTCAAAGGCCCCATGGAAACAAATGACATTTCCCTCCCCTGGCTTATTTACCCTCAGTCACCCTGCACATAACACAGCTCAACATCATGCATAGATTGTCAGGATCCCCCAGGCAGGTCCAGGATGGGTGCAGCAGGGCATGCCCACCAGGCTGCTCACTGACATGGGCGTCAGCAGACAATCTGCTTCAGCCCTGGTGCAACGCCTCAGCTTGCAGACTGCTTGAAGTTGCTCTGAAGTGTATGGACTGAGCACAGCAGCCCAAATATTTTGGGGAAGGCATCTTCTGGAGTACACCATGGAGGTGGACGGGTGGAAGGGAATCCTCTGAGCAATAAAGGAGCACAGCAGGGAAGGGAAAGTGCTGCTGAAACTCACTGAGCAATCCCAAGGTGACTTCTCTTCAGCTCAGGTAGCTGACTCCTCGCATCCAGCGCCTGTTTCAGGGCTCACGTCTCAAAGGAGCACAGCACTCTGGCACGAAGCTGGCTGCTGCCAGGAGGTGTTTGTGCAGCCTGGTGAATCTGTCCTTCCCAGATGCCAGCCCAAAGCCCGCAGGATCCTGAGGAACCACGCAGCAGAGCAGGGACATTCCCGTGTGAGACAACGAGTGTTGCCAATGGCCATGGTTCCTTCTCTGACTCAGGAGACCAGCTGCAGCATGTCACAGTTCCTCCTTCATGAAAACCAAAGCTTGAACGGGGTGTGGAGAAAGGAGGGCATGATATGCGCCCAGATGGTATAACGGTCCCCATTTGGGACACGGCTGTGGTGCACATCTTGCCCGAGCTGGTGGTGCTCTAGTGCAGGCATAGACAGAGTCCTCTGCACCTGGGAGGCGTCTGAGGTGCCCTCTCCTTCCCTTGGCCATTACCTGCCAGCTCCAGTTTTAGACCTGGCAGCTGACTATGGAAACTTCCAAAATAAAGTTCTAGTGGTTCAGCTAAATCACCTCTGAAGGCTGCTTGGAGTAGGTTGCTTAATGTTTCCGCAAGACCCCCAAGCTAACAGATTCCTTGCAGCAAGGAGAAGCTTCCTAAGGCATCTCCTGACAGTCAGCAGTTTGCCATGAGGCTACAAGAGATGCTCAGACCCAAGTGTCATCTCAGTGCTGTAATTGTATGACAATGCAGGAGTGCTTTTATGTCCATTACTGACCATTTACCACTCACCACAGTCTTGACCTGATCTGAAATCTTTTTGAATGTGGTCTCAGGTCACTGGACAGGTCTGGGCTGGCCCATTATTTACTTGCAATACTACCTCAGATTTTAATTATAGTTTACCCTAAATTAAATATTTTTTTTAATAACTGCTCTATGCACATGTTCAAAGCCTGATGGGAAAAAA